GTCTGGTCATCCAGATAAGAAGAAGACTTTGTATGAATTTTCAATCAGTTATATGTCTTCAGAATAGTTTCTATTCAGCTGTATAAGATGAGTAGATGGCTGAAGCTCTTTGAACTTATTTGAATAAATAGTTGAACAAGTTGAATAATACTATCTCTGCACAAGTTTATTTTGCTGCCTAGTTTGCTGCATTAAACAGATGTGAACAGTCTTTATCACAGAAGCGATAGAAGTGACACTTGTAATTAATTAAATTTATGTTCCATCCATAGTTTGAAAACTTTTGTCATTGTTTTACTCTTAGAAAGTATTCAAAATAGATTTGTTTGCCTTCCTTTAGTTGTGAAACATGGACCACGCAGCAACCGGGGCAAGTCAAATCTAGTTTCCATGGCACACTTCTCCCAACTCCGAATCTGTGTTAGCGTTGAAATAAAGTTTTCCCTCCTTCGACGAATGGTAAACAATGCTGTATTGTAGAGGGATGTATTTTCACTATCGAGAGTTTTCACCTTGATTACAACACGTTTACAAAGGCGCTACAGAACCCATGGATGCCATATCAAATTTGGTAGATAATCCATGGTAAACTAAATGTGTTGCTTCATTACACGCGTCTTGATGAAAAACCTGAGGTGAATTATTTTGGAGCTGTTCAGATAGAGTTTTACTAAGGTGAGTGGCAAAATTTAATTGGTGGAATTTTGTGCTGTTGTAGAGAGGAAGAGGTTGGAGGATACAAACCTGAAAATGTTCAATAAATCACACTTAATATGTTGTAAAATTTTAAACATAGCTGTAGTTAGGAACCTCTTCATTCGTGACCAGCCTGAAAAACGCGTCCGTGACTTAAATACTTTCAATAACGGTAAAAGCGAGTTGCATTAAAATGGAATTATTTTTAAACGGCAAGCGTCACATCTTATAATAACGGCTTACGACTGGAGACATGCGAGTCATGCATATTTGTCATAGAAACAGTTGACATTCTCAGTTTTAATCGGAGTTAAAGGAAAACATCAAGGAGTATAAAGGGTGTCCACGATGAAATTGCCACACTATGAAATTGCTCTAATTTTTTAACCGTTGGGTAGAATTTAATGAAAATTTGGGTAGATTTAGTTCATAGTGCATTATTTACATCCTGCAAGTTTTAAAGTCCTGTGATCAAAACTCACGGAAATGGAGTCGAAAGAACAGCTCGTGCGTGATAAAATCTTGCTCATTCATCACGAGAACAAGGATCTCTCGCATCGTTCCATCGCTAAAACGTTGGGAATCGCGAATTCCACGGTGTCACGAGTGATTAAGCGGTTCGAGGAACGGTTGACCACCGATCGGAAGCCCAGAAGTGAAGGAAAAAGTATTCCGTACAACACCAAAAATCACATCCGCGTAGTTGGGGCCTTCAACCGAAATCCGAACGCCTCCGTTAGGGATGTGGCTAAGAAGCTGCACCTAAGCCGAAGTTTTGTCCAGAAGGCCAAAACTAAGGCTGGACTTCGAACGTTCAAGGTACAAAAGGCCCCTAATCGCGACGAGAAGCAGAACAAGTCCGCCAAAACCCGTGCCAGGAAGTTGTACCTCAACATGCTGACGAAAGTTGAATGCTGCATCATGGACGACGAAACATATGTGAAGGCCGACTTCAAACAGATCCCCGACAACCTGTTTTTCACGGCCAAGGATAAGTTCAGCGTTCCGGAGCATGTCCGCACTCAGAAGATGTCCAAATTTGCGAAGAAATTCCTGGTTTGGCAAGCCATCTGCACGTGCGGGAAGCGGAGTGCACCTTTCGTGACCCAGGACACGATGAACGGACAGGTGTACATAAAAGAGTGCCTCCAGAAGCGGCTGCTTCCTCTCCTGAAGGCCCACAACGTCCCAACAATCTTCTGGCCGGATTTGGCCTCATGCCACTACTCCAAGGACGTGCTGAAGTGGTATGCGGACAATAAGGTCAATTTCGTGCCGAAAATGTTCAACCCTCCCAACACTCCGGAGCTCCGCCCCATCGAGAAGTACTGGGCGATTATGAAGCAGCACCTTCTTAAACGACCTAAGGTAGTGAAGACAGTCGAGGAACTGAAGAAAGTATGGGTTTACATGCAAAAAACGGTTGATTCACAGGTTGTGCAGAATCTTATGGCCGGGATTAAGGCCAAGGTGCGGGCATTTGCGTATGGACTGTTTATAAAAAAAAACGAGTAAAATGGTAAAATGAAGTTCAATAGTTATTTCTCAATCCCTGAAAATTTGATGGCAATCGGATGAAAACTCGAATTTTGCGAATCAATTTTGTGTGTGGCAATTTCATCGTGGACACCCTTTAGCAGTGCTGATAAAAATCATTCCTTCTACACTCAACATAGCTGAAAATAAAGACAACCTTAACAGATAGACCAACTACCTGCATGAATCTGAATTTTGACATAACATCATTCTCTTGATCAAGGCAACCTCTGAGTATCGTTGTCAACATTTCAGTGCCAACATTTCAAAGGGGCGTAATTGCTTTTGAAAACAATGGCTTGTGCTATCGATTTCTCACAAATAAAAGCCCATCCCTTCAAATTAACAATGCTAGCTGGTAAAGGAAACATTCTTCTACCTGCTGGTCTCATTAATCTTCATGAGTACGCTTTTATTCGCGAGAAATCGATGGCTAAAGCCATTGTTTACAAATGCAATTACGCCCCTTTGAAATGTTGACACTGATTTGTTTCTCTTCATTCGTGGCTGGATGTTCATTATCGCGCCTTGTTGTCAATTTTAATATTCGTCTTCATCTTGGTGCGGATGATTTTATGCAAATTGATTATTTTCATTTTACTTAAATGTACCTCTGAAGGACGTGTTGTGTTAGTTTTCACACACAAACCGATGGAAAATCATTACCTCAAGCTGAACTGACGATAAAATCCCGGTCTTAGGCTCTGTAGTTGACAATCTTCAAAATAATAATTTTACCCTAAATGCATTAGATTATTTTGCTTTTGAGGATCATTTCTGATTTTGACAATTTTGGGTTGGATATTCAAGCACTGGAGAATATCAACAAACGCGTACTCGTTGATGTATAATGAACCCATTTGTTCATTTCGCTAGTACGTAACAACCAGTATTGGAAAAGTTCGCGATATTTCACGAAGTTCACCAAGGGAAAAGTTCACGAGTCATAGGGAACTTTGAAGAACTTTTCCATCACTGGTAACAACGAAGATTTACAAAACAAACGCAATTCATCATCACTGGCTTGATGAGAGAGATGAACTAGCCTTAGGCTAAAAATCTCTAAAATAAAGATTTAAAAAAAATCACTGGCTTGAAGCGATACTCCTTGCGTGTGATGGTAAATGATAAAAATCAACACTGGTATATAGTTGTTAGCTCAAGCGTAATCCACTGAATATCGTCCGGTTCGTCAATTCATGCAATTCATGTTTTGTTCAATACATCGTCTATTTAGCTACTTAATGAATATACACCGTGTCCAACATATTCTCATACATATTTTCATTTTGTTGTTGAGACTTCCTCGTCGGATGGCCAGTAGAGGCCCTGACCGAACACGTTCAGTGACGACAGTAAGAGTTATTAAAATAGTCAGAAGACGGACTTGACGAAAATCCCAGTGCTCTGTACTTAAAATGGCTGATGATCTTAATATTTCGAAATCGTTCTTGCACAATGTGATGAAACTAGACCTTAGATTCCAAGCTTTCAAGAAACGGAAAGTTTATGAAGTTTCAGAAACTGCAAAGAAAATAAGGCTGGAAGGAGTAATTCTTCTACTTCCGCGGCACGCTGGGGAAGAGTTTGATCCCTCCGACGAAAATTAGTTTGCCCTGCAGCAGTTAATAATATTCAAAATGACAGATTTTGGGCTTCCAACTCGAAAAATGTGCCAGGGAGTGACCGAAATATTCCACGATCCCAAATTACCACTCCAGCGATGGTTTCTGAAGGAATATGCAAGTGTGGCAAATTACATCGGCTTTCAAGGAAAAAAAATATTCGTTAAGTTAACGCTATATATCATGAAAATGTATTTTTGGAGAAGTTGTCAAATCAAGTGTATGGATAGGATGGAGCACCCATTCACATAGCAAGCTCGTTCAGAGCTGCTGCAGAGATAACTTGACCAAAGATAAATGGGCTCCCTCGGATTATTCCATATAATCATAAATACTGTCTAAGGTAAATGAGCACAGGGTATCTATGTCATTTGATCCAATTCAAAGCCATAATCAAATGAATATGGGCCGAAATGCCTATGAAAGTCTGTGAAGCATTTGAGAACCGTCTGAATTTTATCAAACAGGTTGAAGGCAGGGTAATTCCAAAACATGCTGTGATTGACCAATATTATATTGCCTTTCAGTTAAACATAAACTAGTAAAAGCTGAATTACTGATGCGATAAAAATACAGTTTGAATTTGTATGAAAATATATTGGACACGGTATATGTGATAAATTTTGAACAGCCATGATAAATTGTACGTGCTATTTTGAGCATGGTAAGCATTTATAATTAACTCTTCAAAGTGTTTGGATTTGTGCACGAGTATCGATGCTTTACAGCATTAGAGTTTACACACCGAAAAAAGTTTCAATTGTTTTGCAACTTGATTCAAGTAGGATAATTTAACGTGCGTCAAGGTCACAAGTAGATTCTTTTTGTGAAAATTGCAATCATCACAAAGGAAAATACTGCCACAGTGTTTTAGCTCTATTTTGTATGAGTAAATTATTTTGAATTATTCAACAAATATCGATTCCCCAGTAATTGCACACCTTTGCAATTGCCTGCAAATTTAATTGGCTACACATGAGAACGGGTGACATTTCTTTCTCCGCTCAATTATTCACAACATTTTCAAGGCGAAACACCCTAAACGATTCGCAATAACTCAGCGAAAAGTGTGAATTACAACACCACCTTCTAGTTGAATTGCAGCACTATCAATTCGAGCAAGGTTCCGTGCACACAACCGTAATGGCCAGCGTTCTGGATTGTCCGATAATTTCGGTTAACGCTCGAGTTTGGCGCTTCTGGTCATTCGTCCTGAAGCATGACATTATGCGCTACATCAGCATCATCCCAGTGACCGTGATGACGTTGTTTATGTTTACCGATCTGTATCGTACGTGGGGCAATATCCAGGAGGTGATCATCAAAGCCTACTTTGCGGTGTTGTACTTTAACGCGGTGGTGAGTATTGAATGTTGATTACGTTTCCACAGTGAATTTTAAATATTTCTCATGTCAGTTGCGGACCCTTATTTTGGTTTACGATCGTAAGTTGTATGAAAATTTTCTGCAAGGAATCGCAAAAGTCTACTTTGAAATTTCTGTAAGTACTATTCACGTTCATTCTTTGTCGGAGTTAAAGAAGTTTCATATGTTTCAGCTTATCAACGACGACACAATCCAGAGATTGCTTCAAAGCTACACCACCCGAGCCCGTCTACTGTCAATTTCGAATCTTGCTCTCGGTGCCTTCATCAGCACCTGTTTTGTGGTCTATCCTCTGTTCACGGGACAACGAGGACTTCCGTATGGGATGTTTGTCCCAGGGGTGAACAGTTTCGAATCACCCCAGTACGAAATAGTCTACGTCGTTCAGGTTGTTCTGACATTTCCCGGTTGCTGCATGTACATCCCCTTCACTAGCTTTTTCGCATCAACGACTTTGTTCGGTTTGGTTCAGATCAAAACCCTACAACGCCAGTTGCAAACGTTCAAAAATGAAATCGACAAACAAAGCAAGGAGAAAATCATCTCACAAGTGGTGAAATTCATTGAGGACCATAAACGAATCATAACCTACGTTTCCGAGTTGAACTCACTGGTGACCTACATCTGTTTCATCGAATTTCTCTCGTTTGGCCTGATGCTTTGTGCCTTGCTCTTTCTTCTGAACGTTATTGGTGTCCTGCCAATTTCCTTTTCCACTCACATAAATAAAAATCAAGTTTTCAATTGCAGATCGAAAATCTCGCCCAAACCGTCATTGTAGCAGCCTACATCTTTATGATAATCTCGCAAATTTTTGCCTTCTACTGGCACGCCAACGAAGTTCGCGAGGAAAGCATGAATATAGCTGAAGCGGCCTACAGCGGCCCATGGTTTGAGCTGGACAATTCAGTCAAGAAAAAGCTCCTGCTGTTAATCCTTCGCGCTCAGCGGCCTCTGGAGGTGAGCCAATCTTCCAGGAAAATTTACGACACCGTTCTAATGGAGTTGGTTGGCGTCTTTTCCACAGATCACAGTAGGCAATGTCTACCCGATGACGTTGGAAATGTTCCAATCGCTGCTGAATGCGTCTTATTCGTACTTTACCCTGCTGCGTCGGGTTTATAATTAAAAAACTGAAATGGACAACAACGGAGACAGACCGGCTACTGGAACAGGACAAACCGAATGCACTGCTTGCTCAAGGATGGCACATTGACTGCACAGTAGGAAAGAAGTGCACTATTTGACTTGCATAGTGGTGCTTTGTGTGTGAAAGAATGGAGAATGTGTCACATTATCTACTGCATTGCACAAATATTTGCTTTTGTCGTTATTGTTGTCTTTGACAATGAAGTTAAGCTGATTGATTGGCTGGAATATTGAGAATGTTTGTAAACCATATATTGAAGGTAAGTTATGTAAGTTGTGTATTGCGGAATTTTGTTTATTTGGTGGCACAATTTGTTGCTTTCATTTGATTGATTACAATAGATTGAAAAACACCGTCATTTTCAAGCTTAGAGGCTGTACAGTAAACTCTTTCGTTTACGACATTATCTTCATCTTCTTCTCTTTTTCTCTCATTGAGCACGTTTAGCAAACCAATGTCTAATTTAATTCCATAACAGGATATGCTCCCTAAATCAATGGGTCCCTTCAATACAGAGTTAGTGTTTTCAATAACAACATTATGTATGTATGTATTCATAAAACTGGTGAACCGAAGTTAATAAATGTGTAGATTTGTAGACAATCAATAAAACGTAACCTTAATACCTATTTAAATCTATATGTATAAAAATGAATTTCTGTCTGTCTGTCTGTCTGTCTGACCTTTATAGACTCTAAAACTACTGAACCTATCGGCGTGAAAATTTGTATGCAGGGGTTTTTGGGGACGATAAAGGTTCTAATGATGGTTTTGAGACCCCTCCCCCTTTTGTAAGGGGGGGGGGCTCCCATACAAATGAAACAGATATTTCTGCATAACTCGAGAACTAATCATGCAAATGGAACCAAATTTGGCATGTGGAGATATAAGGAGATGTTTAAAAGGGGTAGCCCCTTAGATAAGAGGGGGGGGGGTACGTACAATATAATACGCTTTTATTTAATCGGCGCATAAACTCAAGCTAATATTGAATCGCGAGCAAGGCCGAGCACACTCACCTAGTGAGTTATATAAATAGACTATTAATTATTGAACACAACCTTATAACATGAAGATTTCGTACACTGCAACGAAATTTCACTTAATATTCATCTGATATTCACGTAGATATTTTCCATCGTTCCTGAAAAAGGTGAAAATTACTTGTTTTGGGAATGAAAATCTGTCTCTTGTGATTTATAAAGATATCTAGTTTTTTTAAACATATTATTAACAAGATTTTTAGCTCTTTTACACGTAATTTTATCGGAAATTCCGATGATCTTCAAATAGGTTTCACTTAAAATCTACGGAAATTTTCAAGTAAATATAACTGGATTCTATAGGAATATTCAAGAAAAAAGCAAGGTTGCAAATACTCATTTCAGCTAAAACAATGTTTTTCTAAATTATGAAATAATTAGATGCCATGATCAAACTTTGAATTGGTAGGATACAAGAAGAGGTTGCAAAGAATGTGTTTGAAATATTAAGCCAGTTTATTTCACTTCATGAGAGTCACAATCAGCGATTTTTCACAAACTCACTCACTCACTCACTCAGCGATCAGAAAATCGCTGATTGTGACTAATAGAAAGCAAAATTTACAGGTTTTATGTTTCAAACGCATACTTTGTAACCTCTTCTTGTAAGTTACCACTAAAACATGCCATCATACCATCTTTTGGTTTTATTATTCCAAAAAACATTATTTTAGCTGAAATGAGTATTTGCAACCTTGGAAAAAAATTGGTAGATATCATGAAAATTTGGGTTTATTATTTTATTTAATCTACCATAAACAAAACAGCCCTGAAAAATAACATTCACTGATATGCGATGTTCTTCAATTATAGGAAGGTAGATAAGTTCGTCCATAAATTAAGTTTTTTTTTATTTTTAACTATATTACAATTCAAGTCAATCTCGTAGATTTTCAGTTTTCATTAATCAGGTTCTTGTTGTTGTGCTTTCCTTGCTCCAAGAAGTTAACTATTAGTGTATTGACATCATTGGGGCCTCCCTTAGCTCAGTCGGTGAAGGCACAGCTACAAAGCAAGACCATGCTGTAGGGGGATGGGTTCAATTACCCGTCTGGTATTGGAATTTTTCGGTTTGGAAAATTTCTCGAATTCCCTGGGCATAAGGTATTGTAGTAGAATAAATAATGAGTAGAATCGAGTGAGCGTGAAGCGTGATAGTCCGTATGTAAACGGAATCTCATTGGTTAGCGAATTTTGATAGGCTAGCAGGTATAAATATGAAGCACCTAATCTCGTTGAAGTCAATCCGTCAACCGAATCCAAGCTTCCCGACGCAACTACCATCGAGTCAGCTGGGAGCAATCCAACACTGTGTCGACTCCACTGTCTGCTACGGTGTTCTTCCGGAGACGCCCGAAGACGTTGACCGGTGTCTACGTTCCATCAAGGAGGCGATTTTCCGGGAACAACACGTGCCAGTACCAGACAGGTAAGCAGTACTCTGAACGTTGATAAAATTCCCAAAGATCTCATCAGACTCCGTAACTCCATCCGACGGCAATATCAGCGTTCTGATTTACGTGTCTTGAAGACCCATTGCAATCGTCTTACAAAAACCATCCAAGCCAGGATGGTGGACCTCAGAAATCAAGATTTTGTTAACAAGATCCGCTCTCTCCCAGATTGTGCAAAGCCCTTCTGGAAACTAATGAACATCCTTAAAAATAAGCCAAGACCCATTCCACCACTGACCCCACTGGATCGTCCCGGCGACCCAGTGGTTCATGTGATAACTCCTGAAGAGAAGGCTGCCACGATAGGTCAACATTTCGTCAGCTCTCATAATCTCGGACACAACATCGTCAGCCCTCACGAAGCTGAGGTTGCTGAAAATGCAACTAATCTTCATCAGATTCCAAACATTTTTCCAGAGGAATCTGATATTACGGCTGACGAACGTTGGCCTATATCAAATTATCTAAAAACATGAAGGTCCCAGGTTTCGACAACATCCTGAATCTGGAACTCAAACACTTAAGTTCCAGATTCTACAACCATCTGGCACTGATTTTTAATCAGACTCAGCTTATATTATTTATTTATTTATTTATTTATTTACTTGCCCCTTCTCAAGTGGGCGGAAAACCTCTTCTTTTCGTATCAATAGATAACATAAAATCCTACAGATACATATATACTTAAACTTAATCAGGAAACATTTATCTTTACTTAATCAGGATTGCGAGTGCGTTGGTGCCAGTGCTCCGGTATACTGGGCCGCCGTCATGGAATGCCCAGCTGCTGCAGTTCTCAGTCGGTCGTATTCACCGTCTGCTCCGCAAGGGCAACTACGCCGAGCGCGTTGGAAACATGGCCCTTTTCAGGGCCACAACATTATCAAGAAAGAGTTTAACGATTAATTTTCTAATTGCGAAGATTCAGCAGAGCCATATTTTATCTCGAAAAATAGTTTTAAAATTCTTAACAACGAGAATCTTGAAAACATAATAAAATTTACTTAGAAAGTACCATATGTTATTTTCTAGTGGATTGGGCAAAGACCTTTTCACTTTGATGCTACATAAAAATAAAGTGAAATTCATTTCCAAATCATATACCGGACCCGGTTTGTTTTCAAAATCTCGAAAACAAACCCCCGCACACGTTCTACTTCGTTACTTCTAGACCAACCCGGGGGCAACTTGACAAGTCCAGTACATTTCCAGTGTACTCCGAAAATTTGGTGCTGGTGGTTCTGTCAAACTCACAAATTTCAGAAGTGTTATCTGAATAGGGCGAATGCAGATATGTAAATAAAGTAAATAAAATACTGAACATAAAAACAGATAGCCTCATCTGTTTCTTGAAACTTCAAGTTGGTGGGGAACAATGTTAATTAAACGGACGGGTGTAACAAAAGACAATCACTGAAATTTATTCGTTTAAGAAGCTTATTATGAATATCCTTTGTTGAGAGACGCTTATTTTAATTTATTTTATTTATTTCTTCATGTTTGAATGAATATACGAAATGTTAGTGTTCACACAGCAAACCTGCTACTCACCGCGAATAAGAATCAATTTTGTATTTTTTTCACCCCTCAATAGAAAGATGGGGAAGTAAACTGTTTTTAATAATACGGCTTTTTATTGCAAGTCTTCACCGCACAAGTATGCTCAGAAACATTATTCTCAAGACTGATAATATTCAAGAGCAAAATATAATAGAATCAACCAATGTGTTTTTATTTCTATTTGATTATATAAGAAAAACTTCCATCAATCTGTTCCAATTTGTTTGGATTTATTTCATTTCACCACGAAAATCATAAATCGCTCTTTTCACATGGCATTCTTGCTTGTTGCTTGACATCCACACATGGTGAAACAAAAAGTTGCCTTCCCATAGAGAAATACCATTGCGGCGGTGAAGGGCAGTCCCTTTGTTTACGTTGTGTGGCGACATCTACTATTTGCAAGTGGGTACGTGAAACTAAGATTATCTGTCACCTAGCCGGGGAGTTGTTCTAGACTAACATTTGAAAGGGGCGGAAGAGCCAAAATGTAAACAAACCATATTTTGGCACATAAAGGGTGATACGGTCAAAATTTGGTCAAGGGAAAACGCGTGTAAATCCGAGGGGGGCGACACATCTAAATCTCAATTTAAGATGCTCAAAAAATCTCACACTAGCGAATCAATCTTCGAAAAATCTTCTAAAAATCTTCTTGCATTTCTCGCATCTACTTGCATCGCGCATCATCTTTTTGCAGGAAATCTTCAGAATCGTCATCAATCTCCTTTCTATCTACTCAACGTGCACGCAGCTAGCCACAGCAAATCACAATCTTTTCTGCATCTTAGATAGAGTCGCCCCCCTCGTGTAAATCGGTGAAATCGTTTATTTAAAAAATCAAATTAAATTTCTTTTTCAAGTTCAATTAGTATAAAGTTCAGGAAAAATATTCAGTTAGGCTTCCGCTTTTCCAAATCCG